GAGCTACCTCTAGCTACTAACAGCTCCCACAGCTTCTCCTTCTCCCCACTATCCGTCGGACCATATACATTAGTGAACATACCTTGAACCCCCCCCTCCACTTCCAACACAACTGAGGCTGTAAATTCACCAACAAGAGAGAAGAAATTAACTTGCATTTAGACCTGTCCCACAAGGTCAATAAACCTCTTGCACTGCCCCTAGCTGCCTTACTAACCTACCGCACCTGACCTTGACCCCAAATGCTTCTTACCAAACCTGCATCCATTACTTCCAACTTTGTTTCTTGGAAGAATACCACCTCTGATTTCCACTTACTCAGTAAATTACAAACCACCATTCTCCTACGCCCAAAGCACAAGCCCCGAGCATTCCAAGACAAAATAGACAGATCCATTAAAACACTCACGACCCTGAAACCCTCTCCCCTTCCTCCCTCCCCTTGCCGCTCCCTCCCCCTTCCCTGCTGAATCATTCAACCCCCACGGCCCCACGCCAATCTCAACATCTCCCTGTTCTGCTTCAACCCTTTACCCCCTTTTTCACATTACCTTTACATTTCTCCTCCCACCACCTCCTTTCAATTGCTTCCAAATAACTAATTGTCTCTGCCTCCATGTCTGCTATTGAAATCCCCAGAAATTTGCCTAGACCCAGGAGTTTCAAATTCACCCAATCTGAAGAACCTTCAACCCCCTTCCCTTTAACTCCCCCTTTTTCCTTGTTCTTTGCCCCCTCCTCCCTCTGTCTTGACCTCTCCCCCACCCCTACTCCTTCCCTTTTCTCCCCTATGCTATGAACCTGCAAATTACTTTCAACAGTGGGGGGAACACTGTGGACAACATTTATGTCCTCCCTGAACACCACCAACGGAGTGATTTCCATCAGCTCCATCGGCTGAGTGGACTGGATAGTCTGCTCCGGGCTGCCAATTAAGGGACCTCTTACCGATGTCTTGAGAAATGGATCTGGCTCAGATTCTTCTCTCAACTAGGAAAACACCACCCGGTCCTCACTATCCGAAACGAGATTACTGACATCGTCTTGGTGACGAGCCCCACTGCATTTGTGCTGCAAATTCGGTGTCTGAACCGTGGCTAATAACCAATTTGGGCCTGTTAAGGACGGCTAGGCCTGGTCCAAACCATTCTTGGTAGACTGCTCTGGGCCCGTTCTTTCACAGGACACATTTGACCCCACACCACCCTGACCAAACTGAGACTTGACTGCTTCGCCTCTCTGACCTCCTCCTGCAACCAAGCATGCCCTTTCCTTTTCTCCTAACACGCCACTTATCATTTCTCCTTCTCGGTTCCTTTCTGGATACAACATCATACTATTTGGCACCACATTTAATTCCACAAGACATTCCAGAAGCATCTCTTTCAGCCAGTTCTTCGAGCACTCTTCCCACTTAATTATCATATTTAAATTTTGAATCTCCTTTTTCGCACCGTCCTGGGGCTGGGCTAACCTCATCTGAGTCACGGGTGGAGTTAACAGATCCGTCTCCTTCAACGGGTATGAATGCAGCACTTCATCATCCGTGCACAACACAGGCTGACCTACCCCATTTTCCGCCCCTCCATCTTCCTCATCTCCAACAACCTACCCCTACTCGAGCTTCCTTCTTCTTCCGACAAAAGGACCACCGCATTACTCACCTCTGACTCCCTTTTTTCCTTTTCCTCCTTTCCCCCTCCCCTCTCATCAGTAATTATCTCATTCCCTCCCCTTTGTCTCACCTCCGGCCTGATTTCCTTCCAAATCCACACCCAACAAGATAAATTCCCTGCCACTATTTCCACCTTCTCAGGAATTTCCGCACCCACTCTCACATTGATCCTCACCCATTCACACGTCTTCAATTCAACCGTCGAACCATCTGTACTCAAGAAACCTCCACAGATGTCCCCTATCCCTTTTATCACACTTGGGCACCAAAGGACTAAGGGAAACCCAAAAACTTTGACCCACTCCTCCATCTTTTCTGTATTCGGCTCATTTCTCTCTAACATCTAGTTAGCCGTAGTCGATTCCCACCAATCAAGCGCAAGCCTATTTTGTCCAACATACCACAATCCATTTCGCCTGACCCATTCAGCTTCTTCCATCAACAAAAAAATGAACAGCAATAAATCTTCCAGAAGATACTTGACTCTCACACCACCCACCTTCGACCACTGATCTGCAGCCCAGTGTTCCTATACCTCTACCGGCAATTTCCTATCAAGGCACCCCACCAGACATTTCTGCAAAAAAATGTCTTCTTTCCCGTACTCCCTCTTCCTCTGTTTCTAAGGACCATCTTTCCCCCTCTTTTCTAAATCATCACCCCGAACTCTGGCCAGACCCCTGCTGTCATCGCCTTCTTGAACGAGAAACCTCTACGAACAACTGATCCCCAGGTCCCAAAGTTGTGCCACATCTCCATACCCCACCTACCACCCCCTCTTCTGGGCTTGAGATAGCTAGAAGGAAACATCCTTTTTAAACCTCTTCCCCTGGCGAGACTGCACTTGTCTACTAATATTCTCCACCACAATCACCACTCACTTTCCTTTTACGCAACACTTAGGAGAGAATGCGGTTTACATCTTTCACCCTCGAACCTCGCTGTGCACCTTCGATTCCAGCACAATCTGTCACCGTTGATCACTACCTAAATCCGTCAATCGCCGTCGTGCTATGACGACCACCGCCGTCATTCTCCAACTTCGTGCACCACTTCGTTTACCACCATGTTTCGTCGATTAATCTCAGAGAAGAAAGGAACAGATTCCACTAAAACCCGAAAAGGTACCCCTGTCGTCGTTCACACCCTCACCACCGACCATCGATTAGCAGACCATCGCTCACCAATGTTTGACACCGCTAAGATTCGTCGTTCACCTCCAACACTCACCGCCATCGTTCACACCGTCACTCACCACCTTCGCTACCCAGAGACCAAACCTTGTGTGACAAGTTGGGCATGATTGACATCCATGTCCCAACTTGAGGGGGAGTGTTGGAATGTTTACATTTTATGTCTTTATTCTTCTTAGTTAGGGTCTGTTTGGTCTGGTTAAAATTGCTTTTTTATCATTGTTTATGTACTTTGATTAAACAAGGGCATAAGGGTCTTTTTCCTTTTAATTATGGTCGCCTATACATAACAATATAAGCTGGCACCGCCATATAGATTTAGAACCCTCCAAACCTTTCTCTCTTCTCTCTCTCTCTCTTCTCTTCTTCTTCCTTATTTCTCCTCTTTTCTTCTACTAATAGACCACTAGCTCTCTTAAATAGGGCTATTCTAGCATTGAAAGAAGCTGATTTATTACAAACATAGTTTTCAAGGTGCCAATGAGAGGCTAGGCAACAAAGGGGCGCCTTGTCACCTAGTTACCTAGGCAATGGATTTTTTTAAGTAAAAATCACATATCCTAGGGTAGTTCCCTAGGTTTCATAAACAACTTTCTTTAATAACTATCCATATTTTTCATAAGAAAATTTAAACTTCATGTTTACGTCTAGAAGATCAACATATTTATGAGAAGAAAAAGAAGAAAGGAAAGAAAATTCAAAAAATATAAGGGCTGAACCCCTATTTTTGTTATAGGAAAAGAAGAAAAGAAAAGGTGGAAGAAGGAGACGAAGAAGATGTGGAAGAAGAAATGTGTTGATTAGACAATATTTTAAGTTCTTCCCTTACTTATTGGTTCAGATTTTGAAGTAATTGAGGGTTCAATACAGCAGTTAGCAATGTTTGTGTTGATTAAACCCTAACAAATAAAAAAATAATAAAAAGAAATTAGTTTATAAACACAAAAAATGAATATTTTTCTTTAATAATGTCTATTTTATAATTATAATCTCAAAAAAAATAACAATAAAAAAGTATTTTATTACACAGTATGCAGAACTGCTTGGCAACTGGGCAAGGCGAGCCTCCAAGGGTGCCTAGGCGTTGCCTTGACAACTATGATTGCAAATATGGGGGAGATAAGACAGACTGGTTCTCTAATATGCCCCCAAAATTCATATGGGGTAAGCATTTGGAAGGGGATCATGAAGCTCAAGAAATATGCCAAACACATTCATTTCAGAGCAGGCAATGGCCATAATATCCTTTTTTGGAAGGACACTTGATGACTGATTCCAAATGCTAGGAGGTCAAGTAGTGTGAACCCCCCAAGGCTAAGAAGAGACATCCATAACAGGAGCTGACCTTGATGATGGAAGTCATTAATAAAGTCCAGCCCAATAGTGAACAGGAAGATCTGGTTTTCTGGAGGGTGGACCAGAAGGAGAGCTTCACAGTAAAATTATTCTTCATTAAGCTTTGGCAGGCTGGAGGGGAGAAAGTGGAGTGGAGATGGATCTGGAGATCTAAGGTACCATCTAGGGTGATCTTTTCCTTGTGGACTGCAGTGTTAGATAGAATCCTTACCCTTGACAAGCTGCAGAGTAGGGGCGTTCAGCTAGCAAACAGATGTGGTCTGTGCATGAACCATCTAGAGTCTGCTTCCTATTTCCTAATTCATGTCAGGGTCCAAAGCTATTGGTCCCAATGCCTAAAGCTGTTTTGTGTGCAATGGGTGACTCCACAAGACTTTAAGGCTCTGTTGGTGGCATGGCCAATGACTGGTTTTAGCAGAAAAGGTGTTGTCTTATGGAGAACAATTCCATTTGCATCAGCTGGTGTTTATGGCAAGAAAGAAATAAAAGATCTTTAGAGAATCAAGTCAGGTCATTGAGAAGCTGAAAGGAAAAAGCAAATATCAGGGGTAAAGTATTATTTTTGATTCAGCTAATAGCTCTGAACTTTTTTGTATAGCACTGAGGGCCAGTTGTCTTCAACAGTTAGCTTATTTTTGTACAGCTCTGGCAAGGGTTCTTATCCCCCCATCTTTAATACACTCACCTTTAAAAAAAAATAAAGCTAAATAGATTATGCAGTGAAAACATCCAACTATGCATTGTAAATGATCCAACTTCTCCCATAAATTGCCTACCTGTGCAAGGCCAGAACTTGGATGTATATGAACTGTTTGGGGATTTTTGACAGTTCGGTAGGATCCATTCTTTTGCAGCCTTGCAGAATGGTGGAAGAAACCTGGAAAGACAACACAACTAGCTTCAACGGTAAAACAAAGTGAATGTTCCAAAATATTACATGCTTGATTATGAAAATTATGGAATAACCTGAAGTTATGGCCTTCTTTATTGCTTCTAAATCATTTGGATTGGACATCAGTTCAATTTCAACCCTCTCTAACAGACCCTCTAATTGATCCCTAATATCTCTGGCACGTTTCATACTCCTAACCTGACATATTAAAAGAGCAAATGTTGTTAGAACAGCAGGGATCTTAATTTTACCAAAAGACAACCCCCAGGAAAAAAAAAATGATCAACCAACCACCAACTTGATTCAATTAGCGCAAGAAAATCATGAAACACAAAAAACTTCTAAGAAATTAAATCACTGCAAAGTCCAGTAAGCATATAGTAATTCTCTTCTCGAAGGCTCAAACAACTAGAGCTCCTATATTAATAATTTATTCTTAGTTGATCCCCTTTTCATTATAACCTTTCCGTAACCCAAGTATCCCTTGAGTTTAGAGAAGTAATCACACTATAACCCATCACCCAAGTATTCACCTGAATTTTTCTTTACAAGTCTATGCACCAAGTTGTAGGTCATAAAAGTTTTCTAATCAGTTCAAACTGCAACTTCGACCAAGAACTTCAGAAAATATATTTACTAGATTTTCTTTTACATTCATACTCCTTGTCAAATTTAAACTCATATATACTAAAATCAGATTGAACCCATTTTCTCCTAAATGTCTTCTTAGTCCAGTCTGTTTCAGTTTACTTGTTGCATTATGTTCAAGATCTGGCTTAAAAGTTTTGCACCCTAGCCCCATCCTCCAAAAACACTTTAAAATCAGCACAACTGTGTTGAGTAATGATACACTTGAAATCATTATAAACCACATTAAATGCTACCTGAATATAATTTTCATAGCACCACTGTGTTGAGTAGTTTGTTTCTTTCCAAGAACTGTATACCTGTTAGGGAGGGAAAATTAATTAGGTTAAGCACTTAGAAATACTAAAACAAAGGAAATAAGCAAGAGAAATAAGATACCTATGACTAGTATGAATCATAAATAGCAAACCACCTTAAGTAATGCAATATGGTCACCAACATTCCCGGTGTGAAAATTCATCCTCGCATTGTCAGCATGAACTTGTTTGTCCTTTGGACGGTAAAATATAGAATTCCCAACTGACAGCATAGCAGCAATGGAAATGATCTCTTCAGAACATTTATACTTGTCCGAAGCAACTATCATTTTGGAAAGCATGGGATCAAGAGGGAATTCTGCCATCCTTCTCCCCGCTTTGGTCAGCTCCCCCAAGTTATTTAGTGCATTAAGTGCATAGAGCAGCTCTAAGGCCTTGAGTAAAGCTTCAGAAGGTGGTGGGTCCATAAAGTCAAAATTCAGCAAATCATGAATACCTAGGCTCTTAAGAGTAAGCACAACATTTGCAAGATTAGTCCTTTGAATCTCTGGAACAGTATTTTCCTCCAAATCATGGAAATAATTGTAGGCAGTATACAAGCGGAAACAATTTCCAGGACCAGTTCGTCCTGATCGACCAGCCCTCTGATTTGCCGATGCTTTTGAGATGGGAGTGATTAGCAGTGACTCCATGCCGGTTCGTGGGTTATAAGACTTCATCTTACAGAATCCAGGATCAATGACATACTTGATCCCATCAATTGTCAATGATGTCTCTGCTATGTTTGTTGCCAAGACGACCTTACGAGCCCCTTCAGGAGTGGGTTCAAAAATTTTAGCTTGCAGTTCAGTTGGAAGGTTAGCATATATTGGGCATATTATGAGTTCAGCAATTTTTGTTCCCAGGCCCCGAGTCCTATGTTTTAGGATCTCTTCTGCTGCCTCAATTTCTTCTTGTCCTGTAAAGAACACTAGAATATCACCTGGTGACTGGGTCACATGAATTTGAAGAACAGTAACAATTGCAGCATCCAAATAATCAGCTTCTGGTGCTTTTGTGTAGTGTATATCAACAGGGTACCGCCTTCCTGGTATTTTAAAGATTGGGGCTTTGTCAAAGTAATCACTGAACTTCTCAGCATCCAGAGTAGCACTAGAAATAAGCAGCTTCAGATCACTACGAAACCGAGCAATGTCCTACAAGAGATGTGCCTTACATGTCAGTGGTTACTAAGCCAGAGAGAAAGAGAGAGAAAAGGCCATCAATATCCCATGCATGTGGCACAGGGGATAAGGGTTTGGAGCCACAATAGCTCCATAGCTTTTTGAATCTTTTGTCATGTTTGTTGAACATCAAAAAGAAAGAATGAACTTGATCAATGATCATGCTTATTTAGCAGAAAAGATGCCAAATATGAGTCCCATCTTGATTTGCACCAAGAGTACTTTCCTTTTTTTTTTGGCAGCACACAAATAGTACTAGAATGGCGTGTTACATGGAAGATCTAATGGTTTCTCCTAAAGAAAAGGAGACTAAGATCAAAGAGTATCGGCTTGCCTTAACTAGACCAAATAAAATATCTGTTGACAGTGTTCTTTCATGAGCCTCATCCACCATCACCACACTGGATAGTTTGCAGAAATGAAAAGTCAGCATCTTATGGAACTCATCCAATATAACTGGAGGAAAAAAAAAACAAGACATTATCCACCTGTAGCTAGCTAAATCAGGTTCACCAAGGAATTCTCGTAATAACATTCCATCAGTCATGTACTTCAGAACAGTCTTTTCTGAGGTGCAATCCTCAAAACGAATGGAGTAGCCAACCTGTTAGCAGAAAGAGAAGTTGTAAATGTCAGCTATGCAGAGGCTATTGACATAAAATGTAAATACATGGATTGAAAAATGCATGAAGTGGTTATTATCTAAAAAAAGAAATGACATTTAATGTTCATGTAGGGGAACCGATTAATTGAACAGGTGAGACATGATAAGAGAATTTCATACACAACTACTTAAGCTTTTTGCATTTGGAAAATACAGAAACTTGTAATTACAATGCCAAATCATAACAACGACCACTTCAGTATGTCAACCTATTTACCCAGATCTGATGGCAAGGACAAAGCTAGACAAGGTGTCAGACGCAAAATTTAGACTAAAAATTGAAGTATCTGACACAATACAGCACTTATGCATAGGTACCCACAAATCCTAGATGTCAACCAAAAGAGAGAAATATATACATAACAGTTATGAAGCAAAGGATAAGACCTCATGACCAAGCTTAACACCCATCTCCTGTGAAACTCGAGCAGCAACACTCATTGCTGCAACTCGACGCGGCTGAGTACATCCTACCTGAGAAAAGTACAAAAAGGTCATATAATTTTTTGCTAAAGAATCCAACATTAGAAAAAAATTGCACGAAAAAGCATCCTAATATTTCTATTCTAAAAAAGTAACAGCTAAGAAATCTAACAATACAGACAATGAAAATTTTAATGAACATTAAAAAGAACCTGCCCATTTTAACAGGCAAAGAGACTTGGTGTTTGCTTTATCTTATTGATGCCACAGAACACACTGCACCAATCTCCAGGACTTCGGTTCCAACATTAAAAGTTGCACCATGGTTGCTTCCTTGCTGTACTTAGTAAAATGGTCATAATGTTGCTAGAGATTGCTTATTGTCTTGAATTCATTTAAATCAGGACACTTAAGACTTGGCCTGCATCTTGTGAAAGAAGGCTAGGACTTTCTGGTCTGATATTCAATTTACATTTTGCTGAAGTATTTGGGAAGAAAGGAATATGAGAATAATGGATGGCAAAACAGACAATTCAAGAATAGATGTCATCAGTAACTATGTTAGAGGACTGATGGTGGCCCATCCTGAATTTTAAGATGTTAACAAATCTGCATGTGGTTCAAATGCTTAGGAACCTTTTCTTCTGGTAATGCTTCCACCTTCTAAACTATTTTGCAATCATTTATTTTCATTAACAAAGTTTTCCTGTTTTGTATGAAAAATAAAAGAAACTTTCTAAATTATGAGTTTCAGAACAGGAAATACAGTATCAAAGTCCCTAGTTTCAAATGCAACAGTCCAAAAGTCTAGGGTTTTTTTTTTGTTCTGAGCTTCCAAATGGCTCATTGAGTCTCAGCTTCAAACATAACAGTTCAAAGTTTCTACCACATTTCTCTTTGTACTGGTATACATAACATTAGTCTCTGATCATTTTCCACTCATATGTCCCAAACTTGCAAATCTTCATCACATAGCAAGGACTGAAAACCATAAACTAAATAGGCACTTCCATAATGTGAAAAATGGTACAGCAGAGATACAATGGAGTACAAACCAGAAAAGAAAGAAAGAAAAGGAGAGAAGAGAGGAGAAGAGAGAAAAGAGAGAAGTGCCGATCTGTTTTAGAGAAGGATTAGACTTCATAATCCTCTCTTAGCAGTCGGCCCACCTTTTATACTAACAATAAAGAGATGCTGAATTACATATATGCCCCTGTTTAAGATATATAGTGCACAGGAGTGTCCAAAACATAAAGCAAAAGACATCTCTGTCCTGCTGTCCAATACACCTAGAAAGACTATTCTTTTAACACCCCCCCTCCCTCAAGCTTGTGTATATATATCATATAGACCCARCTTGTTAGTGATGAAATCAATACGAGGACAATTCAGGGCCTTGGTCCATAAATTAGCTAACTGGTCCCCTATCTTCACAAATGGTGTGTCAATGTCACCACTTTGAATCCTTTCTCTAATGAAGTGACAGTCAACCTCAATATGTTTTGTTCTCTCATGAAAAACAGGATTTAACGCTATACGGATGGCACTTGGCAGCCTGATTATCACAGTGCAAGTGCATGAGTCCCCACTGGAATTCCAATTTCTTGAAGAAGACTCTTAAGCCACACTAATTCTCCTATTGCTTAACTCATGGCTCCATACTCAGCTTTTGCACTTGATTTAGCTACAACATTTTGGTTTTTGCTCTTCCAGGAAATAAGATTGCCACCTAAAAACAAACAATACCCTATTGTTGACCTCTGTAGAGAAGATGGGCCGAATGGCCCATAGGTTGTCTATCCTTTCATATGTTTATATTCTTTTTTGTAGTGGGCCTCATTCTGGGCCCATTCTTCCTATGTTATGTTTTTTTTAATTTCTTGCCCAACTAAGGGCCTCTTTGTAAATTATTCAAATTTAACTTAATAAAACAGTGTTAGGGGGTAAGAGGAGAGATTAAGGTTCGAATCTCTCTCTCTCTCTGAACCCTTATTGCCGCCATCTTCTTCTTCATCTCCTCTTCCTTAGAATAAGTATTTTCTGCTGTTTCCTTTTTATTTCTGCATCTATCCTAAACAGTCCTCTATTCTCAATGACTGTTTTTCTTCTTGGTATCAGAGCAGGCCTAAACTTGGCTTGGGCTCTCATGTAGGTGTTGTCCAACCAACTACATGAGAGTTGTTCTAGGGCTGGAAGCTTCAGCTTGAGTCRCCTGRTTCTTGGAGGTCATTRGRGATTGAAGAAGGTGCCCAAGATTCAAATCTCTTGGAGAGTGGTGGTCCGGTGACCAGGAAGAATCAAGAAAACAGGTCGGTTTCTGATTTAGAGCTTTAATCAGAGATTGTAAGTTGTGCTCAGTAGTTTTTGGGTTGCTTTTACTGTTCTGGACTGTTGAAGTGTCCGAAGTTTCTTTGGAAACAGTACAGCTATTCAGCTGTTCTTTTAGTCTGGTTTAGCCCAGAAATTTCTGGGTTGGTTTCATATTTTTTGTGGACTGTCAAGTAGCTGAAATACCTCAGGAATCAGTACTTCTGGTTATTGTTTCCCTTGAACTGTTCTTGGGCTGTTTTTATTTTTGACAGTGTGGTCTTCTCTACTGCCCACTCTGTGTTTGTAAAAAGGCCCCTTCACCAGTACGGACTGTTCTCTGCTCTTTTTGGGGTACTGTTTGGTCAATACCTGGAATTTCTATTTAGAAAAGGAGCCTGGACTGAGTGCTCAGTGTTTGGAGGTTTTCTGCTTTTATTTCTTGAAGGCCGAACCAAGTTGGTTGGTGTCCCGTGTAGTCAACAAGGTGCTACTTCTGTTTCTGGTTCTCACAGCTTTCGGGTGCGACTCAGATTTGTGATATTGCTGCTTTGAGGCAGGTTTAACTCTGTCCTTGTTCATCGTCATTCGGTGTTTTTGTTTTGAAGTTGGTTGAAATCTTTTTGAAGTGTTTAAAGAGATGAACTCCTCAGAGATTGAAAACAAGAATGTTGCTGAATTCGGACAGGTTCCGGGAGCTTCTGCTAACCCTTTACTGACTGTGACCACAGTCAAGCTGGATGGAACTAATTATCCGGCATGGTCACAATCAGTAAAGATTCATATATGTAGTAGAGGAAAGTGGGGTTTTATCTCCGGGAGCAAGAAGGCTCCCTCAGAAGATGATCCATCTTATGAGAAGTGGATGCAAGAGAATTATACTGTTATTGGGTGGCTTGTGAACTCAATGCAGCCACAGATTAGCCAGCACTATTTGTGGATGAACGCAGCAAAGGAAATCTGGGATAGTGTTGCAGAAACCTATTCCCAAAGATTAAATGTGGCTAGAGCTTACAAGTTGAGAAGTGATGTGAAGAATTTAAGACAGGGGGAGAAACCTTTAGCTGTATACTTCTCAACACTGAAGTCTTTGTGGCAAGAAATAGACTTGATAGAAGTTGTAACCTGGGACACCACTAATGATGCAGAGACCTACAGGAAACTGGTTGAAAGAAACAGGGTGTTTGAATTCTTAACTGGACTAAACCCAGAGTATGATATTACAAAACAGAATATTTTATCCAAGGAGAGTGTCTCACTGTCACAAGCATATGCATTGGTAAGTAGTGAAGAGAGCAGAATGATTGTCCAGGTTCAAGGGGCTGGTCTAAGTGATCACTTTGCTAATATAGGAGTGAAACCCAAAGGAGTTGCAGGGACTTCTAGTGGCTCAGGGAAGAAAGAGGTTGTATGTGAGTACTGTAAAAGGCCAAAACACACTAAAGACAAGTGCTGGAAATTACATCCTGATCTTGTTCCTCTTCGGTTTCAGAAAAAACATGATAGTAAAAGGGCAGGGAGTGCTAATGCGGCTGCTGGTCAAGATTGTGACAAGTACCTTACTGAAGAGATGACTGCTTGTGCACAGTTAGCAGCCATGAAAGCAGAATATGAGAAGTTTGGGAAGATGATCAGTCACCTAGAGGATGTGACTTCTTCTTCCAACCCTTCAGGAAATTCAGCCTCTTCTGCATTTGCTCATTTAGGTATAAGGGCTTCTGCCAATCATGCAACCATTTCAAATAATCTTAAGATCCCTTGAATTATTGATTCAGATGCTTCTGATCATATGACCAACCTTTCTACCTTGTTTGTTCATATGATTTGCTTCCTGGACGTGACAAAATCACCCTAGCCGATGGTTCTCTTGCCTCAATCTCTGGTAAGGGAACCATCAGGGCTACAGATTCCTTGTTCCTACTTTCTGCCCTTCGTGTACCTAGACTAAATACAAATTTGTTATCTGTAAGTAGTCTAACTAAGTCATTAAACTGTTGTGTAACCTTCTTTCCTTCCTACTGTGTTTTTCAGGATCTAGAGTCTCAAAAGTTGATTGGGAGTGGTCATGAAGCGAATGGAATATACCTGCTTGATACTCCAGGACAGTGCCTTGAACAGCCTGGAAATGTTGCTTTTGGGTCTATATCTTCAGAGTCTATCAGTCGAGTTATGTTATGTCATTTTCGTTTGGGTCATCTTTCCTTTTCTGCATTGAGTCATTTATTCCCTGAACTGTTTAAGGTAGTTTGTCTAGTCTTCATTGTGAGTCTTGTGAATTGTCAAAGCATTGTAGAAACAATTATCCTTTGAGTAATAAAAGATCTTCTTCTCCTTTTAATATTGTGCACTCTGATGTGTGGGGGCCTTACCACTTACCCTCTATGGGTGGCTACAAATATTTTATCTTGTTCATTGATGATTTTTCTCGGTTTACTTGGATATTCCTGATGAAATCCCGTGATGAAGTTCCCAGACTT